AACAGGTTGATATTGTATCAGAAGAGTTTTCGGCTAAACATTAGGAAGAACTTCCTGACAGTTAAAGCGGTTCCTCAGCGGAACAGGCTTCCCCGGGAGGTGGTGGGCTCTCCTTCTTGGGAGGTTTTCAAACAGAGGCTAGATGGCCCTCTGACAGCACTGCTGATTCTGTGAACTTAGGCAGATCATGAGAGGGAGGGCAGGAAGGGTTGCCTCAGGGCTTAGTTCTTGTGGCCCTTTTTTACACGCCCAGGGAAATACTGATTGCCACTTTGAAGAGAAGAAGAAGAAGAGATTGGATTTATACCCTGCCCTTCACTACCCAAAGGTGTCTCAGAGCGGCTTACAAACTCCTTTCCCTTCCCCTCCCCACAACAGACACCCTGTGAGGTAGGTGGGGCTGAGAGAACTCTGACACAAACTGCTCTTTTTCAAGGACAGCTGTGCCAGAGCTTGTGACTGACCCAAGGTCACATCAGCAGGTGCAAGTGGAGGAGTGGGGAATCAAACCCGGTTCTCCCAAATTAGAGTCTGCACACTTAACCACTACACCAAACTGGCTCTCTCACTTTGGGGTCAGGAAGCAATCCTGGAGGCTTCTTGTCATCTGGGCACGGAACAGCGGTCACTGTGGGTGTGGAGGGGGAGGTATTTGTGAATTTCCTGCAGATGACCCTGGAGTTCCCTTCCAACTGGAGTTCCCTTCCACAGATCATGCTGTGATCCCAAGGTTATTCAGTGGCTGTTCAGTTCAAGATCCGCTCAAGCCCTCCAGTGGTACACAGAAAGGCCCTCTTACCTGTACCCATCGATAAAGCTGGCGTTGATGTAGTCGGAGCCCTCAACTCCCCGGATAGGCTGGAGGCAAACCCGCGTGGTCTCGTATGGCATGATGTTGACAAGGCGGTTCTTGAACTTGTTGCACGGGAGGTTGGCGCTGATGAACCTTGAAGTGTGGGCTTTGGAGTTGGCGAGTCTCTGGCAGGAGGAAAGCAGAGAAACTACAGGCGTGAGAAATTTAAGAGAAAGAGGACCACCCCCCCCTAAGAAATCAATCTCCACATTGTTTCATCTGTCCTCAGAGGGGCTTGTAGCTCAGTGGCAGAGCAAATGCCTTTTTCCCATAAAGAAGAAGAAGAAGAAGAAGAGCGGAGATTGGATTTATACCCCGCCCTTCACTCGGAGTCTCAGAGCGGCTTACAAACTCCTTCCCCTTCCCCTCCCCCCACAACAGACACCCTGGGAGGTAGGAGGGGCTGAGAGAGCTCTTTCCAGAACTGTCCTTGAGAGAACAGCTCTGATAGAACTATGGCTTGCCCAAGGTCATCCAGCAGCTGCGAGTGGAGGAGTGGGGAATCAAACCCGGTTCTCCCAGATTAGAGTCCGCGCACTTAGCCACTTCACCAAACTGGTGTTCTATCCCTGGCCTCTCCACCTGGGTAGCAGGAGACTTTTTTCTGTCTAAGATCTTGGACATCTCTTGCTTGTCAGAGGAAATGAGCTATGGGGAGAAATGCTCCCCCACCCTAGAATTTACCCCAGTATGAATCTATGGTGCAGCCTCATTTCTGCCAAACACATGGTTGAGGACAACTGACGTTTTTTTAAACAATGGTTTTAACAGCAACCGGTTGATTAACTGTTTCCCCCCCTCCCCCATGTTAATGTAAATTGGGGCTTAGAAATTTGTACCCTGGCGCCATATGGATATTAGGTTTTACGGCTTTGTATTTTAGATTGTTTTAACATATTCTGTATAAACTTGTTGTACACCGCTCTGAGCCCTCTCGCGGGGAGGGCAGTATAGAAGTTTAATGAAATAAAAACAGACACATTTGGAATACTGTGTACAGTTCTGCTCACTGCACCTCAAAAAAGATATTGCAGCACTGGAAAAAGTGCAGAAAAGGGCAACTAAAATGATGAAAGGGATAGAACACCTTCCCTGTGAAGAAAGTTTTAAAGGGGTGAGGGTTCTTTAGCTTGGAGAAACGAGGACTGAGGGGTGGCATGATCGAGGTTTACAAAATTATGCCTGGGATAGAGAAGGCAGAGAAAGAAGTTCTTTTCTCCCTTTCACACCCTACGAGAACTCGGTGGCCACTCCATGAAATTGCTGAGCAGTGGGTTTAGAAGAGATGAAAGGACGTACTTCGTCACCCAAAGAGTCATGAACACGTGGAATTCACTGCCACAGGAAGTGGTGGTGGCTACAAGCACAGATAGCTTCAAGAGGGGATTGGATAAACATATGGAGCAGAGGTCCACCTGTGGCTCTTAGCCACAAGGTATAGAGGGAACACTTTGTCTGGGGCAGTGAAGCTCTGTATTCTTGGTGCTTGGGGGGCCACAGTGGGAGGGCTTATGGAGTTCTGGCCCTGCTGGTGGACCTCCTGAGGGCAGCTGGGTTTTGGCCACTGTGTGTGACACAAGAGTGACTGGATGGGCCATTGGCCTGATCCAACATTGCTTCTTTTATGTTCTTATGTTCAAATATGGGGACTGTTCATGAGCAAGAACCCGGCTGCAGTCTCATAGCTGGCAGAAAGGACAGGTTTGGGGAATGAGCCAATAAGCCCCAAGCACTTCAACATTTACTGCACATAATGTGAGGGGAATGCATGCTTTTATCTTTTATTTCTATCCTTGGCTCAGCCTGATGCTTGACTCCTTTTATTTTTGTCTTATTAAATTTTCTTGTATTTTGAATGCTCGAAGCCTGACCTTTGTAACACCATGCCTGTTCTTTTCTTGTGATCTAAAAACGGCAAAGGGGAGGGGCACGCGTAAACTCACCGCCTCTTGAGCAAGGCAGCTTGAAGTTGCGAAAGGGTGACAGATCGCCCCTGTTTCAGTTCAGGTGAACAAAGCAGGAGACACGGCCGCTCGGTGGGGCCTCTAAACGGCAAGGCAGGTACAGAGTACTGGATGTGCAGGTCTTTCCAGCGATACTCTATGATGTGCTGGTGGTGTCAGTCGCTACTCAGCTTGATTTGGGAGGAAGGAAAAGTGTGGTGTCCCCAAGCAGAGACTTGGGACGGTCGTGGAGGTCTTCCAACCTACCAGGACCTAAGGGAATGGGGTTCGTGCATTGCTCCCTTCATCAGCTATCGAGTACATTTTTATCCCATCCTTCTCCCAAGAAGATCATGGTGGCAAGGACAGCTCTTCCACTGCATCCTCACAACAACCCTGTGAGGAAGGCTGGGCGAAGAGAGCGACCGGCCAGTGAGCTTCCTGGCTCTAGGAGGACTGATGTTCTGACTTGGCATAAGGCAGCTTTATAGGTCCGAGTCCAAAAATCTCTGCTCTCTACCTCACACTGCTTTTTAACTTGTTAGTTTTAAGCAGATTACTAAAATAGAGAAAAAAGCTAGAGCCCATTTGAACGGCTTTGAAAATCTGCCACAGGTGCACATAATTTCCACAGCTGAAAGAGTGATAGGTCTGCTATCGTCTTCTAATAAAAGAGGCAATGTCTCCGTATGATCTATATTCTGGAGCAACGTAAGAATGAAAAGATTTCTATGCGCAGTCCAAAAACTGTTGGCAGGTGGCTCAGTTGGATGCGGGCCCCGGAAACCTTTTGTAAGTAACGGCAAAGAACACCTTGAGAGCTATTTTAAAACAGAGATCTAAGTCTGACACAGAATTTGGCAAGCAGGTGCCAGAGCTGTGTGCAGGGCG